CCCGTGGCCTTGGTGTTATCAGCACCACACTCTCCCGAGTGAGCCACAGGCCGGCCCATGGCTGAAATATTTAATCAAACATTTACCCTGGGCCGGCCTGGTGGCGCACTCGGTAGAGTGCGGCGCTTGGGAGCGCAGCGGCGCTCCTGCCGAGGGTTCGGATCCCCTATAGAGACCGGTCCGCTCACTGGTTGAGCACGTTGCGGGCGCGACACCGAGGGTTGCGATCCCGTTACCGGTCACGAAAAAAGACAAAAAGGAAAAAAAAAAAAATTTTACCCTGAGGCATGTTCTCCAGTTATTATTCCAACATAACACCAAAACAACATAAGATAAAATGGAGGACTCATTAAACCAGAGGAATTAGCATAGTTCTCTTATTTATTTTTTTTAACAGTTCTTTCTCTCTCAGAGCAGAGAATGTGGTTTTTGTTTTTGTTTTTGTTTTTTTAAAAAGATGACCGGTAAGGGGATCTTAACCTTGACTTGGTGGTATCAGCACCATGCTCTCCCAAGTGAGCCAACCAGCCATCCCTATATAGGGATCCGAACCCGTGGCTTTGGTGTTATCAGCACCACACTCTCCCAAGTGAGCCATGGGCTGGCCCCAGAGAATGTGTTTTATGAGCAGACTTCAAAGAGGAACATTCAAGTAGATACTAACAAAAGAGAGATTAATGTGTAAAACAAAAAGCCAATCTCTAGAAACAGAAGCAGGGGAAGAGCCAAGTGAAATACCTGTTTCATCACACTAGGCTTGAAGTTGAAAAAATGGACTTTGCTACTCTAAAATTATGTTTAACTTACCATTTGTTGTCAGCTGGATGTGACCCCATAATTAATGGTGCAATTGGGAGTTTGTACATAGCAGATGTCCCTTCAATTGTCACTGATGCATTCATGCCCAAAGATCGAGGAACTAGGAATAGGAAAGAAAAAGGGTGTTCTTCAAAATTACACAAATTATGGGGATCACATTTTTAAAAAAGGATATCTTTTTCATTATTTATCAGCCAGAATTTATCAGATACTATAATTCCTATATAACTTAGAAATGCTGGAACTTACCTTTCTAACCAAACAATATTTTTTTGTCAGTAAATAAAACACAAGAAACAATGGAATCCTAAGAAAAAATTTTTGAAGGGCTCATTATCAATACTTACTTATTTTCTCCAACTTCAGAATACATTTAAGCAGGATTATAATTATGGGATAGAGTTAATAATTGAAGTTACAAGAGGCCCAAATGTGATTTTAGGCTATTTCTCATTATCTTTTGATGTATTAAATGCAAACAGAAAATTACATCCATTACTGTAGTTATTTAGTAAGATGACTAATTTCTTCACCTTTAAAGTAATGAGTAAAGCTGATTATTTCAGGTCATTCACTCATTTACTTTTTATTCAAAAGAACTTATCAGGCTCCTATTACTCCTGTTATTAAGCTCCTATATGTGTATGTATATATATATATATATATATATATACGCATGAGGGTACTTCAGAAAGTTCATAGAAAAATAGAATTAAAAGATAATACAAATCTTGGGCCGGCCCGTGGCTCACTTGGGAGAGCATGGTGCTGATAACACCAAGGCCACGGGTTCGGATCCCATATAGGGATGGCCGGTTCGCTCACTAGGTGAGCATGGTGCTGACAACACCAAGTCAAGGGTTAAGATCCCCTTACCGGTCATCTTTTTAAAAAATTTAAAAAGATAATGCAAATCTTTTCATGAACTTTTTGAAGTACCCTAGTATGTGTGTATTCATATATGTATATATGTACATGTGTATGAATTTATATATGTGTGTGAGTGTTCTATTTATCAGGTGCAAATGGTGAGGACAGCAAACTCATTTAGGAGTAGCAAACCAGAATCTACAGGCTGGCTGGGCATTCAAATTTTTAAAATATTTTTTTTTATTTATTTTTCTCAGTGGCTGGCTGGTACAGGGATCAAACCCTAGACTCCCATGTTATCAGTACCATGCTCTAACCAACTGAACTAACCAGCCAGCCCCTATTTTTAAAACACTGAATAAAACTTTCAGTTGCTTTACAGTTAAGTCTTACCATTATTCTCATGCAAAATGATGGGAGATGTAGTCTTATCATCCAGCAAGTCAGAAGGAGAGGCATAGTACTTAATGTTCATTAAATGACCTATGGAAAATAAAACTTATTATTGCATCTTTACCAGGTAAGTTACAAATAAAGAAAAACATTCACATTTCTATAAACCGAAAGACAAGAAAATAGTTCCAAAAATATGAAAAGTCATGCTCCAGAGCAATTTATGAGATATGACAGATTAAGTATTAGGCTAGCTGGTTATCTCAGTTGGTAGAACAAGGTACTGACACAATATCAAGGCCAAGGGTTCAGATCCCTACACCAGCCAGCCACTAAAAAAAAAAAAAGATTAACTATTGATCTGGGAGCAACAATTTGCTTCACACAATTAATAAAAAAGACTGGGGGAGGGTAGGTGTTAACATCTTAGAAATCATTACAATATACACAAATTACACATTTTTCTAAATAACCAAAATAGGATCACATACCCCCACTCCTTGGAGTGAGATAGCCAACACTTCCATGAAGAATCTTATCCAAGGGACCAGCATTAGTTGCTTTCCTGCAAGACAAATGATCTATGTTTGCATGTACATGTATTTAAGCCCTAAAGGTCTTAGTAGACAGTGTGATACTGAGTTCAGCCCTTAAAAGTATTATAATACTATCCTAATGACTCTGTCCTGTAATTGGGCATATAGCAAGTTTATTTCACCTTCAAAGTAAAGAGAATATTTCCAAGTACACACCAGTATGTAATATCGTGAACAAAAATTACAACTAGACTATTAGATAGGAGTCAAGGTTTGACAAGTCTTCAGATAAAACCTACGAAATACCAATCAACAACTTAAGTGATACTGATACTCAGAAGATGGAATGTAATCATCATTTACAAAGAGAAGGGAGATGGTCAAGATGTGTAATACAGGTATAATACAGATACATTTAATACATCAATGTTTAATACAGATTTATAATATAATAGAATACATCTATAATATAGAAGTATGAAAGAGGACCCTAACAACCCCCTGGGTGAAAAAACCAGAGGCTCATATAGAATTGACACTTTAGTCAGTCTTACCAGTACATAATTGCCATTTTAGATAGATCCTGTTCTAAGGATTGGAGAGCCAAATACATTTTTGTCTTCAGTTTGCTGGAAAGTAGAGGAGGAGAACATGAGTAAAATAGTTGAAAAATATACATAAATACACACAAACATTGGTATAGAAAGCCTAGAGGGCAAATCTATATTGAAGGCAACTAAGATATAAAAAAAAAAAAACCAAAAAACTTTAATGTTAAAGTGATTTTTATCACTATCAAAGCTTATTTTTATCTGTTTAAAGGAGCCAAGAAGGTTAACAGAATCCCAGGAAGGTTAAAAATAAAAATGATAGGGCCAGCCCGTGGCTCACTAGGGAGAGTGCGGTGCTGATAAAACCAAGGCCACAGGTTCAGATCCCATATACGGATGGCTGGTTCACTCACTGGCTAGCTAGGGAGAGTGCGGTGCTGATAAAACCAAGGCCACAGGTTCAGATCCCATATACGGATGGCCGGTTCACTCACTGGCTAGGCATGGTGCTCACAACACCAAGCCAAGGGTTAAGATCCCCTTACCGGTCATCTTTTAAAAAAAAGAAAAATGACATGCCAGTTCCACAATAACTAATTCCTTTCAGCCTGAAAATCAGTATGGTAAAGACATCTCAAGGATTATAGTCTGTCTTCTAGCATTATAATACATTAATGCAGACACTGCCTATTTAAAATACCGTTAAAAAAACAAAGTTGGAAGCTGAGTTATAGGTTGCAGTATGAGTAGAAATCAAGAATGGCATATGGCAGAAGAGTTCGCAAATTTCTAAGCACAAAACAGCTTATAAATTTATACTGACTTTTCCAAACAATAGCAAAAAATAAATAAAAATAAAAATACTCACTTGTCTCCTGGAAGGTTATACAGATTAACAAGACCCTTAAGGTGCTTAGAAAATTCATCAAAATTTTTTTCCCTACAGGGATTTCAGGGAAGAAGGGAAAGAAAAGAGAATACAACATACAATTACTACTCAATCTTACGATAAAGTGCCAAAAAATCATGGCTATATAAAACTGATTTTAACAATCTGCTTTAATCTTTTTCCCCCAAAGTTTTCTAGAGTTAATCAAAAGTAGTAGTCAATCAAAAGAAAATATTTTCCTTTCTCTCTCTGCCCCGTTTTTCTGGAGAAGGTGCAGATAAGCAGCATAAAAGTCAAAAGGAAAATAGTCAAAAGACTTGATAATTCATACACTAATTAGCTCCTAAATAATGAAACCTGATTTAAATTAATCACTTTCCTTTCCTCTTACTTTATAACTGAGGGCTGACCAGTTAGCTCAGTTCGTTAGAGTGAGGTATTACAACACCAAGGTCAAGGGTTTGGATCCCTGTGTCAGCCAGATGCCAAAAAATAAAAATAAATAAATAACAGGGTGGATGTGGATAGAAAATAAGACTTTTGATTGTAGAGGTAATGAGAAGTAAATAAATTGGGAAGATAGAATACTTTCAGGTATACGGCAACATAAGGGCAGAGGAGAGAGGAAAAACAAACACTAGGAGAGATGGGAGAAGTACAGAAAAGAGGGTGGGTATTCTGGAGGCAAACCACATATTCCAAAATATTCCTATGACCCAGGAAAAGGAAACAACTACCATAACCTGTGGCTTTCTAGGCCTTAATATTCAGGCTTAGATTCTTAGTCAAATAAGTAAAGGGATTATTTCCAAGTACACACCACATCTCAACAATTCTAACTCTGTGTATCTTTTAACTTAAAAAAAAAAAAAAGGGCACCTGGAAAGCAAAACTGCCATGACAACATCAGACACTTCATTACTTTAACATTTACTGAGCACTTACTGCCCAGAGTGCTATGAAGACAATAAAAAGAAACAAGGGTAGCAAGAATATATATTCCCTACCTTAATATTACCATCTATGCTAAGTGACTAAATATATCAAGTTGGGGGCTGGCAGATTAGCTCAGTTAGTTACAGCATGGTGTCTTAACACCAAAGTCAAGGATTTGGATACCCATACAGGCCAGCCACCAAAAAAAATAATAAATAGAGCTGGTCGGTTAGCTCAGTTGGTCAGAGCGCAGCCTTATTACACCAGGGTCACAGGTTCAGATTCCATTACCGGCCAGCCACCAAAAAAATAAATAAATAAAATATCAGGTAAAGATTAACATCCTTTCTGAGGCTTCCACTTTCAAACAAGCTTTCAAATTAACTTCAGAACATCATAAGTTAGTATAGTCTCCCACGGTAGGGGAGACCCAGAAATACTGGCTCTTTCAGGAGTATTCTGGTAATACACCATTGCTAGATTTACTAATTCAGTGATATCAGAAAAAGCTTATTTTTTATTTTGCATCACAATTTTTTTAAGCTGGTTCAAATTTGGTTCATCTGACTATAAGCACCTTTATACTGATGATTGAGGAGGCTGAATACAAAATTTATCTCCTCAGAAAAAAATTTTTTAAATGTCTTAAATAAAAAAAAGAAAAGTAATTTTAAAAAAAATTTATTTCCTCAATGTTAGAAAGAGTCAACAACACTCTTTCTAAGACAACCCTATGTGGTACCTGAGAACTTCACTATGTTTAAAACAAAATTAATGTACTTTCTTAAATTCCCAGAAAGTCTTAATTCTAGGTTTAAATTTAAGCAAGAAACTTTCCACTCAATTCAAAAGAAAAAGGCAAATCAGTGGAAAAAGCCACCAACTGCTAAAAGAATCTGTCTTCAAGAATAGCACTTTTACCGTGATGGGAATTTATCACACATATACCTTAAATGTAAAACAAATTTTCTCAAAATCAAAATGAAGAAGTTCTTTTCATGGTATAGACTCAATTTTCTCAAGCCTTCTTTGATTCAATTATTAGGTTCTACTTATTTTTGTTCCACACAGAATTCTGAAGGAAAGATCAGTAGTTCTCAACCAGGGGTGATATTGTCCCCAGGGGACATTTGACAATGTCTATAGATATTTTTGATTGTCACAACTGATGGGATACTATTCAAAACCAGTGGGGAGAACAGGGATGCTGTTAAAACATCCTACAATGCACCAGGCAGCCCCCTACATCAAAGAATTTTCCAATCCGTATTGTCAATAGTACTGAAGTTGAGAAACTCCAGAACAGATTGAGCAGGGTAAAAAATCGTGCTAAGTCAATTCTGAAAGTGAAAAAGTACAGATTGAAAAATCTTGGCCCAAGAAAATAAATTTCTTCTTGAGGAAAATAACTTCTGGCCAGTCTCAAAACCTAGCTATAATGAACAGCATTGTTTGTCAATATCAAGGAATATAAATGTTACTTGCTCACCTTAACTGCTGTACAAGCTCTGGACAGCTCTAAAATCAAAAAAAATTATGTTAAAACACTAAACTACTTTAATACATTTGAAGACATCAAAAGTTTTTCTCTTTTTTTAATATCACATGCTTTATAACAAAAACATTCACACTACAGAAGGTCCTTATATTCAGATTTCAAAAAGCATCTTCTTTCTATTTGGTGAACCATGGGGTTAGGATGGGAAATTAAAAATCAAAATATATCAAATAATTTCTAAAAGACTCAGCTTTTATTTAGCAGCTTGTTTAAAACATTAGGCACTCTCTTTAATGCCATTCTGGAATCCATATCAAATTGTCTGGTTATACACCTTTTACATCCATCTCTATGACAAGATTTTTCAGATTATCTGTCCTTCTTGATTATGATCTCTTTGAGAATAGGAACTATAAATTATTTATTTCTGTTGTTCAATTGCAGCTCACGTCTGTTGATATGAAAAGAAAAGGGTTTCTCTGGTATTTACACTTGTCAAAGCCCTTGGATGATGTCAGAGGTGGACCCATGTTATTCCAAATTCCACTTTATAGCTACTCATGTTGTAGCCCATCACATCATCTCTACAGTGGCTCAATGAAAAAAACCTAAGCCCAAGCTATTTAAACCCCGACAATTCATTTTTAAATTAATGTCCCTAAGTAAACCCCACAGATTCCAGTGAAATATCAACAACACATACCACAGGATTCTCCCCATGGTGAGCCACTTTTACATCACAAAGCTGTCCTGCAGGATCTAACTGCACTTCCACATAGAACATATCTGACGTGATGTAACATTCAGTGCCACTGGCACTGAGATGAGAGCCCAGTCTAGCGGGAACAAATCAAAACAAAAATTAATAGAAGACACATAAATAAAGCCACCCAAAGTTAACACTAAGTTAAACATCTTGCCTACAGATAAACCACTTACCCATTCTGTCTTGCTATGGACTCCAAGCGATCAGTCATTGCTGGTAAAGATGTTACTATGAAAGGGTAAAAAATGGAAATCACAAAGAATGTTCCAAATAACTGAAATGCTATTATTCAGGCAGAAAAATCTTAAGGAGTATAGCCATCCTTCCAAAGCCATAAACACATTCAATAGTCCAAATACTTATAATGTGCACAAGTTAACTGGTAAAGCTTAGCTGTAGCCTATACAGCAACAAGGGTCAAAAAAAGATCTATTTGAAAAATTATTGGACATTTCTCCTCTACCTTTTTCATTACTCCTTATTTGGGACAAGTTGTGATTAAATTAAAGAAGACACAATTATCGGCTAATGCTAGAATTAGGAAGATTAACATCAAAACCAACATAACAACAAATACTCGACGTTCATAGCAGCATTATTCACAACAGTTAAAAGGTGGAAAGAACCCAAGTGTCCAGCAACAGATGAACGGATAAACAAAATGCAGTATAAACGAGGGTACTTCAAAAAGTTCGTGGAAACTTTTTGAAGCGTTCAGTCTCTGTACCAGCAGGCCACCACCCCCCCAAAAAAGTTTCAACTTTTTTTTTTTTTTTTAAAGATGACCGGTAAGGGGATCTTAACCCTTGACTTGGTGTGGTCAGCACCACGCTCACTCAGTGAGCCAACCGGCCATCCCTATATAGGATCCGAACCCATGGCCTTAAGTGTTATCAGCACTGTACTCTCCCGAGTGAGCCACGGGCCAGCCCGAACTTTTTGAAGACCTCTCATACATACAGTGGGTTATTTAACCAATAAAAGGAAAGAAATTCTGATACATGTGTCAACATGGATGAACTTTGAAGACATTATGCTAAGTGAAATAAGCCAGTCACAAAAAGACAATTATTATGCTTCCACTCATATAAGGTATATAGAGTAGTCAAATTCACAAAGACAGAAAGTAGAGGGCCGGCCCGGTGGCACACTGGATAGTGTGCCGCTTGGGAAGCGCGGCGGCGCTCCCGCCCGCGGGGTCGGGGCCCACAAAC